TGGTCGTAACCCGAAAAGTTTGTTAACAGAGGCGTTCGTAACCCGAGGTACCACTGTATCTCCTCCTGCCTCCATCAAAGAAGGGGTCTCAAATTCACAGCGCTCCAAGTCATTTTCTGTAGCTTGCAGTAGAATGTTGTGACACTGAGGACACTGCCCACCAAGGCGAAGGCACTAAACACCACACAGCTGTACAGGTTGGTCCAGGAGACCAACAGCTAAAAATGTTAAAATGATATCAACAGAGTTGAGATTAAAGTTGATTCATTAAAACATTGTATTTAGAGTGTATTGGACTCCCCAAAGAATGGACTTGAAAGGATGGACTTCAGATTCTCTTTGTTGGAGGTATAAAAAAATGACCCATATGATATGATCCTGTGATCATATGGTACATTTTTGGAATGGTATTTTATTGCATATAAGTAGATTTATGAGAAACTCTGCAAATGTTAAATATGTTAATGTGATGTTGAATTATATACCAAAGCTTTGGAATCTGACTGTTTATCAGGAATTAAGGTTGTATCAGGCATAAGGAGATGACTAACAGAATTATATTGAGAAATTGGAAAAGGGATATTATTCCAAATGTTAAGGAGTGGCTTTTGAAAATGTATAATGTATTCATCTTGGAAAAGGCAATATTCTCAACTAATCAAAGGATGAAGCAATATGTTCTACTTTGGCAGAGATTTTATGATATTTTACAATAATAATTTGCATTTGATTATATTATAGTATTTATTACTAAACCAATGACTACTGATATGCTTAATATATAAGGTAGATTTTTAATTTTCATTTTCATTTTGCGTTTGGGTTTTTTTCCTTTTTCCTTTTTCCTTTTTCTGTTTTCTGTCTTCTTTTTTTTTTTTTACATTTAAGGATTGTTCCATTTAATTGTGTTTTTTAGTGTAGTTTGGTGTTTGGTCTATATTTTGTATTTCTTCTACAACTAAACAGCTAGATAGTCCAGGGAAAACACTCCTGGAAGTGGAGCAACCTAGCAGCAGGAAGAGCAACGTTATTCTCCTAATCTGGTGGATATTCCAGCAAGTGCAGGGCCTGGTTAGAGGGCTGGGCTAAGATGGGACCTGCTTCGGAAGCAGTGCTGGGCTCTCCAGTTAGGGGAGATGGGCCAGGAGGCTGAGAAGAAGCCCCAGATATGGCTGCTTTCCCCCAAGGGTCTCAAGAGGGGGACTGACAGTGGGGAGTGAGGCAGCAAGGGCTATATAGTTCCAGAGAATCTGCTACTCTGGCAATGCTTTTGGTGGAGCTGAAGACAATCATGAAAACATCACCATAACTACAATCTTACCTTTGTCATTTTTAAAATCTCAGCATCAGGTAGATTAGTGTTAAATGTCACATCTTTAATGTAAGTTATTGCAATTTCGTCCCCATCTACCTCCATATACATTTTCCATTTACAATCCTAGTTTTGGAAAGAAAATACAAAATATTAAATTGAAATAGGTTCTGATATGAATAGGAAGCTTTTCCTCCTTTCTCTCCAGCCACCACCCCCATATTAGTAGTATGTTTTTATGAATAAGTCTATAGAACTGAACTTTGATGATGAAACATTAAAACAAAAGTAGCCTGAAAAGCAAAAGTTATTTGAGGTTTCTGTCATATTAGAAAAGGCAATCCACTTTGCTAGTTTGACGTAGTTTTAGCTGAACAACAGGTGGCTTGCCTCTTTAGCAGCACAAGTGGCTGTACTGAACTCTTTAAAGAAACTCCACTTCCCTGTGTACTGACAACTACAAATCCAAATGCAGCACATGGGTTGGAATTTGGATTCTCTTCTAATATCCTGGTGCTGTAGGGCAAGAAGAAAAATGGAAGAAGCAAGTTTCAGAAAAACAAGATTTAAGCACCAAATGTAGATCATTACTTATATTGGAAATGTGCTTTGCTATAGAGTGAGAATGATATATGTTTTGTAACTTCTAATGGCATTTCTGAAATAATCAGTGTCCAGTTGCTCTTTTACATACATACCTACATACTTGTGCTATTCACTTTCAGGGTAAGCTATGTTATGCAAAGTGCCAAAAAAGAATAGGAAGTGGTAAGCCAAAGAAATTAAGGTATAGGATAAGAAAAAGAAAAGGGAATATATATATATAGCTGAATCTAGTTTACCCCAAATGCTATTCACTATCTCTCTCCATACCTTTTTATCTTTACAAGCCAACCTTGCTTCCATCATGTCCATACACTGCTTCATGCATTGGCTTTTGCCCTTTAAACTTCTCCCCTCTGTCTTCTTCAGGATCTCATCAACTCTATCCAACCACAACTCTTTCAGTCTTCTCCTTCTCTTGACCCAGTCACTCTTTCTTCCTATGCTTGTTTTGTAATTCTATCCTCATATCTTCTTTCTGTGTGTTCAAAGCACCTCCAAAATTCTTCTTTCATACATGTTGGTTACACACTTTTGTATTTATTCAATTCATTCATTCAGCACCAAATTCATTTGAAAACCTATTTCTTCTTTGCCACCCACACATTGAAAGTACTGCATTCCCACTGCATTCAACATACCTTTATGTTTCTTCTCACACCTAGTTCCATATAACAATGTGACCAGAAGCATGGTCTTATACACAACCATTTCTGGTTTGTTTTTGTTTTAATGCATTCTTTCTTTGCTATAGTTTGCTTCTTGCTCACTGTTTTTCTACCAGTATATGCATCTCTTAAATCCATCCATTTCCCCATCTTTAGTAATGTTCCATTAAGGTGCAGAAAACAGTTACTTGCTCTAGGATTTTTTGCCATTTATGTATGACTTATAGTAATTCACGCTATTTTCACTCTCAAACACTATCTGGTCTTTGATGTATTAAATTTCAGATATATACTCCTTGTTGCATCACACAATGTAGCTAACATTTGCTATGAATTCTGATTTTCAGCCAATAAAATGGCTTCACCTGCATATAAAAGTATACAACATATATGTCTCTAACCAACACACCTCTAACATCACAAGCATCCTTGTGCATCTATCCATTTGATAAGTGTTCCATTTATTCTCATGCATATTTTACTTTCATAATATATTGGTCTTACCACATTAGCCATCCATTTTCAACTCAATATCCCACAAAACAGTTCATAATTCAAACCTATTCATTTTATCCTGCACCTTCTCTAAATCAGCAAACACACAATAAACTTTCCAATATTCATACTTTTCTCAATTACTGTAGAGAGCCATAGAGATGAGCTTGGAGAAAATATGCAGAAAGGGTTACAAAAACAAAAGCAACCTTTAAGCCTGGGGAACCTTTAAGCATGAGAAAGAAGCTCAGATTGGCTCCACCCTAATTCACCGGGGTATAAAAGGGAAGGAAGGAACAAAAACAATCAGACATTCAAGGTTCTGTTACTAGAGCCTACTTGAACTGTGTATAGTTCCAGTTAAACTTGTGGAGTTTGTCTCCCACTGAAGATCATAAACCTGGTCTGCCCACCATGAAGTCATAATGCACTTTCCAAATTTTCTTCATTGTCTCCTCTTTCACTCGGTCAATCAGAACTCTGCCAAACGCTTCCCCAGGATTCCTTAATGAACTAATCCCCATGTTGGTTTTGCATTCACTCTTACTATCGTTCCCTTTAAATTGGTTGGTTGGTTGACTGATTGCCATCAAGTTGGTGTTGATTCTTAGCAACCACATAGTTAGACCATCAGACCCGAGATGATCTGCCCCCAGTCTGGCTCTTCAGGTCTTCCAAGGAAGACAATAACTGCATTCTTCAGTCTTCAGACACAGATGCAGTTTTCGTACACATGTTAAACAAGTCACTCAGCTCTTCCATAAGCAGATTACATCCATATTTTAACTTTACTTCAGTTATACAACTTACTCCTGCATTTCTCAACGTTCTCACAGCATTATGACTTCCTCTTCATTATTTTTTCCTTTGGCAATAATTTTTTTAGCATTCACTTCAATTCCACTCTTTACCACTATAATTCTACTATAATTCCACTATAATTCCCAGACTTTAAAATACTCTTTCCAGCATTCACTCACTTCAGTTTCATTTGTGCAAATTTCATCACTTCTCTTTTTAATTCCATTCACTCTGCTGGAAGCTTCTTTTTTAGTTCTTCTCAGTTACTTTGAAAACCATTTTTTATTTCCCTCAAAACCACTGTTTATTTTTCTGCCTCTTTTAACCTTAACTCTTCCTTGCTCTCTTTGACTAAGCTCTTTGCAACTTTTTCCCCTCTGTATATACATTACACAGTATCTTTCCTTTATCAGTTTTGCAGCATTCTCTTATGTGCATATTTTTCACTTCATCATTCTGCCAAGCATTCTTTTGCATTCTTCCCATGAGTGTAACTCCACATAATTCTGTAGCATTAACTATGTAAGTTACCTAGTTCTTTTTACATTGTTCGACGCAGCTTCGATTGTCTTTCCTTATGTCCACTTTCCAATCATTCTATGAGAAGATTAATCTTCTAATACTTTTTCACATGCAATTCAAATTTTCTCTTCCAGCATTCACTCTGTTTTCCCTCTGTTTAACATTTCTCTTTTTCTTCCATGTCCATTTTTCCCCAAGATCCACTCTTGATACTACCAAATAATTCTCTATTGCACATTTCACCACTCTAATACTCTGAAACATTCATCATAAAGAATAAAATCAGTGATGCTTTGTCATTTGTTCCTTTTCATGTGTAGATATGAACAGACGTACTCTTAAACCATATACTCAAAACAAACAGACCTTTTTCTGAGCTGATGCTTACTAATCACCATTGTCAGTAATTCTTGGGGCTTTGAATGGCCTACTTTTTCTAATCTCTCTCTCACCTCATTTTCATCCACCATCCATGTTATCTAACAGAATAACTTTTCCCATGGATCATGTTCATTCAGAATGTTGTGCAATTCTGCCCAAGCTTATCTTTGCTTCTTCCATTATTATCATTCAGTGAAGCATAACATGCAATGTTAACCTATTAATTCCTACTTTCATGTGTACTCGTATGTAATTCATGACCCTTCATCATTTACTTCTCCTACATTGCAAGTTACAGTGTTCATACAACACTGTCTTTCTGACTTCCCTCCCCTATCATGGCTTTGATCAATTAAGGCTCTCACACAACACTTTTTAGTAAAATAGAGAACATGTAGACTAGGCTAATAGCATTGGTCTGACTCATGTCATGTGAAGTATTCCCTGCTAACTATAGAGAGACAGTATTATATAGGCTATATAAATTGTAATAATAAATAATAAATAAATAAATAAATAACATTACTAATTTTAACACATTCTGTTCAGTATGCCACAGAGAAAGCCCAATTTTATCTCTCATATAGACACACTTTTCTGTGACAGATAACATCTAAAGACTACTTCACAAGTAACATAAAGCTTACAGAGGGTAGTCCTTGGTTAAGTAACTAGGACTGGAATTTCCATTGCCAAGCAATGCAGTCATAAAGCACAATGTCATGTGACCGCATTGCTTAGCAACTGCAATCCCAGCAGCCCCCGTTGCCGTTGTTAACTGAATCCCACCAGTCATTAGGCTGGGAATGATTCAAGCCATTCCCAGCTTGGTCCCTCCCAACCCCGAGCCTCAGTAAGGTAAGAGACTGACTCCTCTTGAACTCCCCCCCATCTCTGCTCTTTTGGCCACCCTGCACAGCAGCACTCCTCTCTGGCCTTGGTGGCAGCGGCAGCAGCGCTGGGGCTGAAGTAGAGGCCTGGGGCTTCAGCAGTCTCAGCAGGCCGCCCTCACCCCCAGGCCTCTACTTAAGCCCCAGCCCCTGCTGCTGCCACCAAACAGTGCCCCTCAAGACTCGTGCCGCAGCCAGCCACCTACCTCAGCACCGCAGTGCAAAGCCCCAGCCACCCCCGCCACCCTGTACTCTGCCGGCCCTGCTGACCCCAGCTGACCTTCGCCGTCTTCCTCCCGCTGCTGATGAGGCACATCCGGTTTGGCCTTATGCGAGGCAGCTGCTGACCTCGCCAGGCCTTCTTCCCAAGGCCACGCACACCATTCTCCAAATTGCACATGCTGTTCTTATGATGCTTCAGAAACCCTTTGGAAAGCTTCTGAGGCCTTCCAAAGCATCACAAGAACGGCATGGTCATAAATGCAAGTGGGCTGCCAAGCACCCAAATTCTGATCACGTGGCCACCAGAGTGCTGCAATGGCCATAACTTCGGGGACCGGGCGTAAGTACCATTTGTTCAGTGCCGCCATAACTTTGAATGGTCACTAAGCAAGGACTACTTGTAATCCCATTTTGTTTTCAATTCAGGTAATTTGGATGTAATTCCACTGAGCTTCTAGGAAGGAGTTTCCATGTGCAAGCTGATTATTACCACAAATTCACTTTTTTTGTTCACAACTGAACTATGCTAATTGTGTAAAATTTT